CAGAGAAGTGGCTCATCAGTACCTCTTGCCATGACTCTCCTGCTCACACCATAAAGCCATCAGCAGACTCCACTAAGATTGTTAATGCCAACCAAGGTGACAACTTTAAGCAACAAATGGAGGTGTTTGCTGAAAAAACAAGGGTCGCAGAGGAAAAAGTGTCAAAGACAGTCTCAAGCTTTCAACGCTGTGCCTCTTTGAACAATCATAACTCTGGCAAAGCTTTCAATGGGGTCTCAACCTCAACTGATGTACTTCTAAAAGGTACAATCTTTATTTGAACTTTAATCTTTAGTGGAACCTTGACCTGTTTGCTTTATGTATCCCGTTGCCCCCTTGTTGTGCCACTATCATCTTCCCCTCTCTTTTTTTCTTTAAAACTTGATTATATTTTCAGTTTTTCCTCTACCTGTCTGATTATGGTCCCTGATTGTATTAAACAATGTAGAATCTAGTTTCCAATTTTGCATGTATTCGTTAGCTGTGTATCTTTCAAACACTGGGAAACACAACCATGGTACTAGTTTATTAATAAAGGCTCACTATCTTTTTACTCTGCATCTCTTTATGCAAGAAACCTGTCTTTAGACCTTTTAGTTGAAACATTTACTGTTACATTGGAATTGCATCATTTTAATTATAACCCAAAATATTTTTCAAGTTGGAGCTAGACTTGCAATTCCAAGATAACATGATACCTACAACTGAAATTTGAGTTTTGTTTGTGTAGATAAGTTTGTGGACGATATAGAACCAGTTTTGCCCAATTCCAGGTACTTAGAGCCAACCAAAGAAGGCTTTCTATTCAAAAACTCAGCTTGTGAAACCATGAAAGACGCAGGCACAGAAGAGGTTCATCATCTACAACATCGAGATGTTGGGACAGAGATGACGCCTCTTGGCAGTTCAACAACTTCAAGGTGCCACACACCATTCAAGTGCTCGTCGCCCGCGCGCCATAATACGCCTGCAAATCGGTCAGGGCCATTGGCTTTGGGGTACTCTAGCAGCACTAATAACACCATTGACATTGCCCAGTTGCAGGAGTGCCTTGGGACACAATATGATTCAACTGCATCGAATTGGAACTCAAGGGAAGAGGAGGAAGTGGAAATATCAAAGAGCTTGAGACATTTCGAAACAAGCCATCCATGCCGAGAAAGTATTTCTGAATCTAGAGCTGCTGCCTGGGAAGAGGATGAAAACAACAAATGCTGCCTTAGGTAATTGGATTACTAAGTTTGACCACATATTGTTTCAAATGATAGATTTGGTTTTAAATGCATTTTGAATGTGCAGGTATCAGAGAGAAGAAGCCAAAATCCAAGCCTGGGTCAACCTCCAAAGTGCAAAAGCAGAAGCTCAGTCAAGAAAGCTTGAGGTAATTTTGTCATTTTCTTTTTCCATGGTGGGCTCTTATCCCAGCAGGTTTTTGTTCTTTAACCAATTATTGCTTTTGCATGGCAATGGAAATGCAAGTACATAAACATGAGATTTATACTCTTTTTTTTATTCAAACATTATTCATAAGCCTGAACCGCCATGACCTAACAATCAACATAGAAGATTATCAGTCTTTTGATTTCAATTGATATTGCACGTTTGCTGTTATGTCATCAAACACTTCAGTGTGATATATTTTGCTGAAGACACCTCATCTTATTTGCTGTGTTAAAATATTTAGAGCAGGAAACTGAGTGGCTGCATTGTCAAACCGCAAGTGCTAGCAAACTGTATTTTATTGGTTCTGGTTGGAATGCTTGATGGAGCTTATTGTTGTCTTCCTCCTTGAGCCACCCGTCACTCTTGGACACCATTCTCCTTTTGTTTTCTAGACTGGACCACCTCTATTGAAGTGTCTTGCTTAATATTATATAATTTTTTACATACCAAACTCACAGAAATTAGAGAGAAAGCTAGAAGTCTTCATCCTCACATTTTAATACTAGCAATCCCATGTGAAGTAGCAGCATTTAGAAATCCATGGGGAACTGGAGTATTTAATTGAGTTGGATACTAGTCATGCTTGGAAGCTTGGTTTTTTGTTCTTTAGTGGTTGATGAAAAGAGCACTGTTTTGGTGTTTTCCGCTCTTCTTTTCACTTGAAATTTCTTTTGTAAAGCCAAATGGAGATACCCACATGCATGCTTTTGTAGTTTGGCAGATACGCGTTTGTTTATTTATTTGTTTTTTTGGGGTTTTAGGTGAAAATACAGAAGATGAGATCAAACCTGGAGGAGAAGTTGATGAAGAGGATGACAATTGTGCATAGAAAAGCTGAGGAATGGAGAGCAACAGCAAGGCAGCAACACTCTGAACAAATTAACAAGGCCACAAACAATGCACAGAAGATGATAAATAGGCATAACCCACATTTTTCTGGCCACATTTCTTGCGGCTGCTTCCCTTGCAATACCCATTAACCAATCATGAAAAACAAAGAAGGAAAATTGCATAGAAAATGTTCCTTGCTGTGTAATTCTAGCCTCATAATGAAACCAGAAAAAGAAACAGCAGTTATGGCAATTTTTTTCTCTTTTTGTTACAAGGGGAATCAAAAAAATGGAATTTACCTTTCACCAATCTCATCCATGTAACTAGAAGGTACATGACATGAAGTTTCAATCCAAAATACAAATTAAAACATGTTGATGCTAAAAAATGGTCGAACACTTTTTGGCAAGATGGATAGGCTACGAAACCAATTACCTTGTTTTGGGGACTAGTGCCCCTTTTTATAGATTTTGGAAGATGTGCATCTTGGGTGAGATTTCGATGTGAGACTATGGGCATCGCTTGAGGAGACGTCACGTGTCCTTGTGAGAAATCTCTAATGAAGCGTGATTTTTAGCCATGATCGGCAAGCGGTTGTCGAAGGCTCATAACCTGCCGATGGTATTTCGTGAGACGAAATAGATTGCCTAGATTTAGTAGGTCCATTGTGGCTCCCCAATTCCATGTCATTTTTTGGTTGGCTAGTCAAATGTGGTATAAACAAAATAGGATCTAAATTATTGAAGAATGTAAGTCTTATATCCGAAACTTGACTAAATAAAATAAGGAGTTGATTTCCCCACTTCTTTTTTTCCACTTACACTCCCTTTTTTTTTAATACTTTTTAATCAATTTTGTTCTTTCTCTTTCCTATTCTATCCTTACACTACATTAATTTTTGTTTACTTGACTTTTATATTATTTCTTTTTCTTTATACTTAATTTTTCAACTTACACTCCATTTTCAATATTAAAGGGGAAAAAAAACACTTAATTTCTTACTCGATTAAAGGAAAAAAATACTAAAAATGAAGTGCAAGTTGGAAAATTAAGTATAAAGAAAAAGAACTAATATAAAAGTGAAGTAAAAAGAAATTAATGTAGGATAAGGGTATAATAGGAAAGAGAAAGAACAAAATTGATTAAAAAGCAGAAGGAAGTGTAAGTGGAGAAAATGGGAGTGGGAAAATCATATCCCATAAAATATAACATAAAATGAATTATTCCACTATTAATATCACCGAAGCCTTTCGATATTGCTAATAGGTGAGTCGCTAACCCGTCTCTCTGAAATTTAACATAAATAAAAACCTGTATAAAAAAGATCACATGTGATTTCAGAGCAAACGTCTGAAGCCTGCAAAACTGTGCAAGCAGATCTGTCCCGTGCTTTCTCTGTTGTCTTTTTATCCCAGCATCTGAAACCCAACATTTTCTTTCCTCTTCTTGTTGTTGGAACTTGGAAACTGGAACTCGGGACCTACCCATCCATCCATGCAGGAGTGATGAGGGCTTTACATGTGGCAGTGATATTAACAGACTCATTTACTTCATGACCAGCTAAAAACAACAACAGCATGCTCTGAACAAGAAGAAAAGCATACTTTAGCAAGAAAGATGTCCATAATTTGATAAAAGCTGCGCTGTTTTGGCCAATACCGTTTATCTCTATATATCATTATATCAACTTTTGAACATCAAAATGTGTCCCAACAGTTGGCAAAACTTGGTCCTCCTCTTGTCACTCTTGCAAAAGGCAGCGACTCTTAAAGTTCTTAGGGAAGTTTTTTGGGGGTAAAATTGTATGGGATTGTTGGTGCTGTTTGTTGGACCACATGGAATCCATAATAGAGTCTGAATAAGATCAACACAAGAAAACAGTGGGGCATTATAATTTGAATGCAATGAGCAGAACCTCTGGAAAAGTCATATAATGGTGGTAGAGACGTGTTCCATTTAATTGGTTTGTATAAATGCTACTGAGTCAATAATAGCATTCATAGCCATAAGTAACCAAACCCATCCCACCCCCTCCCCGCCTCTCAAAAAAAAAATTGCAGAAAACAACTCAACTTTAAAGATGTGATGTTTTTATTTTTATTTTGAATGCAAGCAACTTCAATGTCATTTTCCACTCCCCGTGGCAAAGATGTGATGTTTTAATAAAAGATGAGATGTTTTAAGCAACCCTTACTTTGAAGATTGCGACCTATGCGAATATAATCATGGAAGATGAAGGAGACCAGTCACCAACCACCACTCTTGGCCTTGGCTTTGAAAGCAATGCGTGGCCATGAGAAACTCTCTGAATCCATCCACAATTACATGGGCAACAGAAAATGTTACCTGGCCTGCCAAATTGCTTAAACCATGTACAGTTGAAGCATTTCAAATTCCAAAAACTTAAAAGGACCAAAGTTTAATCCTTTTTATTTGTTGATATACTCGATGTTATTTGCAACCAATGCTTGGTAGAACAGGGTCAATTTTGAGGGTGGTGTAGCTGCTTAAATCCAAATAAAAAACAATTGCACAACTTGATGCCATTCAAACCTAAAAGCCTTGCAAGAAAAGATATTATTCTCATCACATCTAGTACGACTGTACCCAAACATGTTTATCCTCCACAAAAATAAAGGATCATAAAGGCTTCACACAAATGTTCGTCTCCTTTGAATGAATGTCTACTACATCGCTTATCCTGAAAGACCAAAACTGGGAATTTTCTAGTCGCGAAACTCGTCCATGAATGACTTGTGGAAGTCTGTCAGACGGGTGACGATGGCTGGAATTTTATCCTCTTGAGGCAATATTGTGCACCTAAAATGCCAGGTGCCAGGAACCTGTCACAGTGGATTGAAATGTAAACAATCTTCAGCTTAAAATAAAATTATGAAAAATCAAACCAAAGTATATCTCACACTATCTTACTGACGTTCACAGAATCTAAAACAACAAAATTAAGGATTTGTCTACACTTCATATTTTTGTTTAACTAAGTGTGATCCTATTCAATCACCAACTTAGGGGACCATATTTTTCATCCCCTAGCACACTAAAGATTTAAACATTCCACTGTTATGAATGTGGTTCACTTATCATTGCTGATTAGAATGATAGATGCCAAACAAATAATATCGTATGACCACTTGATCTGCTGCAAATTATTTCCAATTTAGGTCAACAACCATTTCCTGCCACACTAAGAAACAGTACCAGAAAGAATTAGATAAAACTAACCTGCCCAAAACCAGAACCAGGAACAACCACGATTCCTGTGGCATTGAGAAGGCGGCGACAGTAGAATGCATCTGGAGCTGTATTTGCTGCCTCTGCTGCTTTAATTGCCTTTTGAGGCAGGTTTATGCGGGGAAAGAGATACATTGCCCCTTCTGCTCTGTTGCATGTCACACCCTCTAAGTTGTTCAACGCATCTTCTAAAGTCTGTTTTAAAAAATACAATTAATAGAATAAAAACAAAATATGGGAGAAATGAAGCATAATCAGTCCTGCTATTAAGAAAGATCAACATAAAATAATATCACGTTATTGTGTTACCATTTCATACTACTAAGTACCAACCTTTGCACGCCTTGCTAGGGATGACAGGATTCCATCTTTCTCTGCACAATACAATTCATAGGATTCATCTCCAACCTGCATTCAACCAAGAAACTTCCTCCGTGGGAAAAATGATCCAGATGATAATATCAAAGAATATAAACTTATTCGATCTACCAATTTTAAGACCGAGTTTCCAAATCCTTATGCCCTGTGTAACGAAGTTAAGGGCAATAACAAAGAAAAATGTTCTCCTCCAAAGCCCCAATTGTACACTAAAGGAAGCACTAATGAACATGGTCAAATCAATTCTGACTTAGATGTTTGAAAATTTATTAGTCCAACTAGCTAAAAAAGCCTCAAAACTATCACAAGTGAATGCCGACTGGTTTCAAACTAGAAGATGCCTGTTTCCACTTCTGAGGTTCCAACATTTTAACCTACTGTCAAATCGCTTGCTAGGTCCTACTTTAAGATACTTGAGCATGTTTGATCCTCAATTCTAAACCCATTGTAAATTTCTATGAAAAAAGTAAATACAACATTATTTAAGGAGAGAAAAATGACCTTTGGTGGACTCATGACAAGGCTTGCAAGAATTTGACCAGAGATGTTAGAACAAAGATTCACAGATGCCACTTTGTATATTTGTTCCCTTACGTCAGGACTGATACCAGTTACTTCCATGTAACCGCCTCTTTTTCCACACTCCCCGTAGTACCCTACATCCAAAAAAGAAACAATGATAAATTGTCCCAAATTCATTGATTTTCATGAGCTACTCTCTTTCCATCATGACAGCATAAGAACCCAACAAATTACCTTTAGATACTGATTGAAATGATACCAAAGAAATATCCTTTTCACCATATCCCATAGACCGGGATACCTTCTTTAATGAATGAAACTCCTTATCAGGTACATAAACATTTTCTTGATAAACCTGTATAAAATACACTGAAAATATTAGCCCATAAAGTACCTATAGAAGTTTCTGATTACAATTACAATGCTCCAACAATGTTGCAAAGTAATTGAAGTTAATTATCCAAAGAACAATCCGTCTACCTCATCTGCCAGCAAAACAAGACCTTCTTGCTTGCAGAATTCCACAATCTGCCGCTGGTTGTCCTCAGCAAGCACCTGCAGACAAGATACCAAAACACTCAACCAATGACTATTCTAGATTAAACACAAGCTTCTCTTCCAATAGCAACCCTTTGAGAAAACTCTTTTATCGACAAAGATTTTGAAGGTCAAAAGCAATTCATAACTCACCTGCCCTGTTGGGTTGCCTGGATTTATAACAACCAAGGCCCTTGGGTTGATACCCTTGGACCTTGCGTCCTCCAATTGCTTCTTCAACTCAGAAGTTTCCAATCCCCACCCTGATGCCTCATCGAGGAAGTAAGGAACCTGCATACATCAGACCACAGATTTGAATGTTCTTACAACGTTAAATGGTATATAAAAGAGAATTATTTTCCAACTTCTAGTTTCTGGCAGTCATGTAACGTCCTTTTTTTAAATAATCAGGCAATTCACTATTCAGTTCAATAAAAACTCGAGCTTTATCCAATAACAAGTTAGTGCTCGAGTATAAATGCCAAACATTTTATATTTATTGACATTGAGTATTTGAATAAATCTCTTAAAATCCAGACATACCAGTGTACCACCGTGGAGGGCAATTGAAGCAGAGTACAAAGGGTATTGAGGAATGGGACAAAGAATCCCATCCTGCTCTGAGCTTATCAGCAATTGCATCATCATATGGACCTGGCAAGAGAGAAATGGGCATGATGTGTTATGAGTGGTGCAATGTGCAACTTAACATATTCAGGAACATTGGGACGTCACTAAAATTGAACAGAATGGAAGTCAGGACATACCGCAGGGCTTGCACCATCTGTTAAGAAAATATCATTTGGATCAGCAGGATATCCGTCACGAGCTTCAATTCCAGCAGCAATTGTATCACGTAAACCCTTGATACCCTGATGCCAAAGTGGGCGAAGAGGGGCAGTGAGTCATATGTCATATCACTTATGAGTTCTGCATAAGTTTTACAAATTTCTGTATGGGATCATTACCTGACTATGACTGTATGCACCAGTTGCTCTTCCAGGAATTTGATCTAGAATCTGCCATGCCCGCTCTATTGCATCTGCACTGCAACAGGTAACAAAGATATCCACATAAAGATAAGATTTAACTTCTAGGAAGACTTTTCTATGGATTCCTAGAGGATTGTAACGCAGCCTAAAATATTTGACCTTATATGTTATACATGCAAATGATATAATGGCAAATTTTTTATGTTGACACATACAATTAAACCAGTCACATTATCTTCAGATGGATTTTAATCGCAGTTCATCTAAGAATCAGCCAAGCAGATTGCATAAAAATTTCCAATACCTGAATAGACCCTGTGTTTCGCTTTTGTCCAAGATGGATGGATGGTCACATAATGCAAGAACCTGACACAATGATTATAACAATTAAGGATTGCATGAGATGCTGTAGCATTATTTGATATCTACCATGTAGTCCAACAATAAACCAACCTCTCGGAAAAAGGTTATTGGATGCTGACCAAGAGACTGGGGATTTCCAATGTTGCAGTAAAGTATCTGTATAACATATAATTGAAAGTGAGTACCCAAGTGACAATGCCCTAAAAACTAGAGAGTCAATATGGAAAGCAGTAACTCATCAAAGGAGAAAGAAAACACACCTCATCAAAGGGATGAGAGCCTGGATTAGCCAGTAATTCTTCTTGTAACCTCTGTGACAGGAGGATGTTACAAAGGAGATTATGATAAAAATAAGATAAATTACTTCACTGAGATTCAGGCATTAAATTTTCGACATAGTCATGTACCTGGGCAAGGGTGACAATTTCACCTCGGACAGCATATTCACATTTCAAAATCTGTAAGACACAGAAAGTTAGTAGTGCGGAGTGAGCTGGCCAATGAATGATAAATGGAATAGAAGATGTCCATAATTACTAGTATTTGACAGTGAGAAATAAAAACTAGAGGAACAAACCAATTAACTTACAAATTCTATAAATAAATCAAAATCAAAGTAATCCAATCAGAATGACCCAAATATGAGTGATCAGTCAGATGAATTTATCCAAAAAAATAACTCGGGTCAAAAATAAAGAGTCAGTGATGTCACAATTCCTGGCTACTTGTGTGGGTTGAAATAAAAATAGAAAATTAAATAAAAAACAACCACACCATACAACCCATCAATCTTTCCTTTGCTTTTGGGAAAACATGAAAACTAAAGCCAAAGAAAGGAACTGCTTTGCATTAAATCCCAAGAGACAAAACAACAAACAAATAAACGCAGCCCAGATGCAGAAACATCAAATCAAACACCTTTGACCATCTACACGGACAATCAAACAGTGAACAGATTATCAAATATACACAAAAATAAACAGGAATAAGCAGAAAAACAGCAATAATAAATAGGAATAAGCAGAAAAACAGCAATAATAAATAGGAATAAGCAGAAAAACAGCAAAGATAAACAAAATAACAAAAACCCAACTCAGGAAAAAGCACAAACCTTGGGATTTATGTTCTGAAGAGTGACAGGGAGTTTGGAAGCAGAGGGGTCAGCCATGGAAGAAGTAGAAGAAGGAGGGAAATCTAGGACTGGAGTAGAGGAAGACAAGAAACGTGGGAGAGAAGAAGAAAGCGAGGAGCTTGGGTGATGTGGACGAAGAATATGCTTTTGCTGAAAAGAATGGATGAGAAGGCTTCTGAGTCTGCCGCTTGCGAATTTCCGCATTCTGGGACTGTTTTTATACGCAAAGCAGTGAGATTTTATACGTGTGACGGTGTGAAGATATCACACAGATGTGATGTGATGCAAAGGGCAAGTAATTTCTGGGCACAATCTTCAACGAATGCCCCCTACTTTGTTGTTTGGTGTTGGGTGTTTACTTGCCCACGCTTTGACTTCGCCCACGGAACATGACCACCTGCTTATATTATATTTTCACCGTGCCTATTTGTCTTTGGTTTTTTACTTTCCTTTTGCAGCTCTGGATATATCCAGATTACAGTTGTTTAGTTTAACAGCAGGGGTATTATGGGGAATTTGCATTTTCTATGATTTTTTATTTTTTTGGGTCTATGTATGGCCATGACTTGTGATCACCCTTTTGTTTGTTTGTTTTGGTTGATAAGTTTAGTTTTGGTTAAAATAAAAATTAACTTCTGCACCAAGCAATGTAAATATCCAAAAACTTATTCACCAAGAAAAGGTAATAATATACCCAACAACTTAAGATCAGAGTCCTGCAAGGAAAAAGAGAGATTCGTAAACATTCCCACATGACCACCTACCTATCCTCTTTTGTCACCCCCGCATCAATTCTTTTTAAGTTGTTCATCTAACTCCTCATGTGCACTAACTTTCTCATTGAAAACAACTGATTTTCTAGATGCTGAAATGAGAGAGAACAAGAATTTACTCTGCAAACTATGTTCAACTCATTCATGATCAGAACTTTTGATGTATTTTTAAGTGTGACAAAAAGAATTTAAGTACATGATTTTTCCAGGGGGAATTGGAAAAGAAGGGTGAAAGAGAACGGGACACACAAAGTGCCACAGATTTGTGTCATGCAGGCTACCAACTGTAATGTTACAAAGAGAAAATATTAAAGCATTCTTTCTAGACGATTTTAATTTCTGAACAATTTCATTATAGCTGTGCCTCAACCCAGTCTTTTGATTTCTTGGATCACAAGGATGAGTCAAAATCCACATTAGCTGCTGGCAACCAATCACCGCCTTGGATCAATGACTCCACTGTGAACTTGGCTGCGTCCACATCTGTCAGAGAAGGCTTATAACCAGCCCATTTCACCCTTTGATCCACACTTGATCCAGGCCCACTGTTTTGGTACTCTGCATAATATATAGTGTTGGGCGGCTCAACATTGGAAACCCATTCTATCCAGCCCTTTGGGTTCAAGAATGACCCAATATCAGACTGCATGAAGACTGTGGTGGAAAACTCTTTCCAAGGCCTACCCAGATATGTTGGAGCCGTGAGATTAGCAGCATCTAGAGCAGAGATTTTGCACTTTTGGATTGACATGCCAGTGTTCTGATTTGGGTCCTTTTTGCCTTGAGCTGTGATGGTGTTGAACTGGTTTGACATAGGCTGCCTCGGCATAATGTTACAGTTCTGGAATACCACAGCAGCATTGCCAAAAATGAAGTCTATGGTGCCAATGATGTCGCATTCGCGATAGAATTGTCGATTGGAATGTGCATAGAGGGTGTCTTGGTAACCAGAAAAGGAGCATTTGTAGTATACCGAGAGGTCGGAGCCAGAGCGGAATGCTACTGCTTGGTGCTTTGCTGGTCCTGCAGAGTTGATGAATCCCATGTCTTTTGCAATGAAGCCTTTTCCTGCTACGGCTGGTGATCCAATAGGTAGTCACAGTAAGAATTCAATACTTGATATGTAAGCTTGAATGTTAAAAAGTTCTAACAGTTTGAATCAAAACAAAAGTCTCTGAGTCTGAGAACTTGAAATCTAACACAATTACTTCTGTACCAAACTTCCCTTCTTCTTTTTTTCTCTCTACAATGGAAGGAATTAAGTGCTATGCAACATGAGCGCATGACATGCAAATATTCATCAACATAACATAAAATCAGGCAATCAATAAGAAAAAGTCAGCTCATCCACCACATGCGTCATGCAGGATAGAGGACAACACTTGCATTTCGGGTCAAGCAGGCCTTTGCTATACTTAACTTGTAATGTACATTAAATATGGAACAAATGGGTCAACCATATAAACAAGAAGCAATATATAAAGCATAATCCAGACATGCACATGGTGGGGGCATCAACCGTCCACACATCACCCAGATATCCAATCTATTTTAATGGTATTCAAAGCAGCATTGATCTTTTCATAGAAAAAATAAATAAAAAGAACAAAACAATAACAGCAGTAGAAGAAGAGGATATCTAATTTTTAGGTGAGAGTTAACATTAAGATGCATAAACCATGTGGCTGGTTACTAAATAACCCTATCATACCAATATCATCAAATTCAGAAAGACAACTTGGTCTCTAATGTCTATGGTTTCCTTCCTAGCTCCAACCTGAAGGTTTCACATGGCACATTCCCACATGGGATTTCCTTCAGTTCTCTCTACAGGGAAAGAAACTAAGATGAATTGGCAACCAACAACAGCCATGTTAAAATGGCTTGATACTTGGAAGACAGCCTAGCTAACTAGTGTTCTAGTGTTTCTGATACGCACAAAATGCCTTTGTCTCTCCTCACTGCTAGTGTCATTGTTCTATATCACAGCAAGAATGAAATCAAACTGAAATGAACAATAAATGACAGAACAAATTAAAAAACCAAATTAACAGAAGATCAAATTGAAGGTGGTAAGTAAGAATTGTTACCAAAAGTGGCTGTGGAGAAGGTGGGGGTGCCATCCACAAAGTTCAAGCTGCCATTAACAATGGTCTTATCCTTGCCATCTCCAACCATCATCACATTCCACTTGCTCTTGTCCATCAACACATTCTCATTATAAACCCCTTGCTTCACATGAATCACAAACCTGGTTGTGCTCTTCTTGGGCACAGCCTCCACAGCCTCTTTAATCGTCTTGAAGAGCCCAGTCCCATCCTTGGCCACAATCACTTGCGCAGCAGTCACGTTGTTGTCCTCCAGCAGCCTCCTATCTCCAGGGCCAACCCAACCCGGAAAACCCATCTCGGATCCTCCAACACCGAGCAACCTCCTGTGCACGGGAATGTTCAAATTCGTCAGCAGACCCAGAATTTTAGCCACAATGGCCAAGCTGTTGCTGGAGAATTCAGTCGAATTCTGCATCGCGACCTTGAATTCCTGAACAAGGGTTGAGTTGAGATCTTGCAGAGAGTCCAAACAAGTCTCTTGGTCAGTCAAGGTAGTGCTGAGCCAGGTCTTGAGGTCGTCGATTTTGGCAGCGGACAGTAGCTTCTCGCCCTTGTTCACATCCATGGAGGACAGCGAGTCGTTGAGCCGGTCAACTACATCTTCAAATAGGCTCTCGCAGACGCTCAGAGTTCCATTCAGACGGGTGTCATTAGCAGCTTGCCGTCTGAATTTGGAAGGCAACCCAGCAAGCTTCGAGGCCGCGTTAATGGCGACGTGCAGAGAGAGCTTGAAAATCACTTCTGGGTCGGTGGTGTTCGAGGTCTCGAGCGAAGAGATGCTCGAGAAACACGAATTCGGGTACTGGGTCACGTCGCAAACGGCCTTGAGTGAAGCGGACGGAGTCAACTCAGTCGTGGGGGCCGAGTTGGGAGTGGGAGACGACGAGTTGCTCCGCTTGTGTATCAATACTCCGGCGACGGCGCCGATGATCACCGCCAACAGAACAATTGTGGAGACAGTGAGGATGATGACACGCTTGCGTGCCTTCCGCCGGAAGGCTTGTTCCTCGAGCTCGTCCACTTTGCCATAGCCCTTGAAGGACTTCATAGAGTCCATGTTTGCTGTCCTTCTTCTTCTTCTGTGTTTTGCTCTGCGTTTGGTTTGATGGGTTTTGCTCAAGGAACTGAGATTTGGGGATGCTTTTGGACAAAGTGTGGGTGTGTTGAGATGTTTTTGGTTCCCCCTTTTATAAAAGTGAGGCAAAATAGAGAGATGGTAAAGACCTTTCCTTGATGCTTCTTGCTTAAGAATTTTAATTAATTACATATTTGATTGTGATCCATGATGTTTTTTCCAATAAACAATGTAATCTTTGCTTTAATTGTCTGTGAAAACATCCTTATATACCACCAGCCATGGTTATTAATCCACTCAGTCAGCACAGGGGTTGAAATTGCCCCTTGGAATCAGTTCAATCAATATTTGTTCATTGGGTTAAATATCTTTCGAGCACTGAATTTTACATGAAATTTTAATTTAGTCGCCGAAAAAAAGCATTTAGCCAAATTAATCATCACTGGACTATCAATTTACCTAAAAAATTTATCAAAATCCAAATCAAAAGTGACAACAAAATATTGAATCATTGTTTACTTGATTATGTTAAACTCAATTGGTATTGCCATTGGACAGGTGGGCATTCCTATCTATACATATAGATAGGAACTTGGGTGACCATTGCTATTGGAGAATGTAATTCCTTTTACCTATGCACCTAATCCGTCACCATCTGTACAACCTATCTATATGTTCAACCCGGACATAATTATTTATGAGTGAATCAAATATAATACACGTATCTAAATTATGTATATTTTTACTTTCTAAATTGTATGAAGTTTTCTTCATTTTTCAAAAAAAACATCATTGGATTAAATTACTACTAAAGAGTCAGTAAAAATATAATTCAAAAACTAAGTGTCGGCTTTATATAATAAAATTCTACACACGAATCCTCACAAAGCATGGAAATGAACTTGCATATACTACGTTTATTAACTCATTCTTTCTATTTGTTTCCTCGCAATTGTGGGAATTAACTTGCTAAGTTTATTAGTTAACTAAAGTTAGAATAACTTTATGGTTTTATTATTTCTTAGGGATGAAGATCATGATTTGATCGGATGGGAAATCTGATATGATCACAATTGATTTACCATTTCCAGAAGGTGTTTACATTGAAAGCCAGTAATCACGGTTCATTATAAAAAAAGATTATGAGCCAAATTAGAAGGGCAAATCAATTTTGAGTTATTATTTGAATATTTTGGATGAATGGACGGTGGAGATGGAGTTGAATTGATAAGCATATGTTGCACTGGGCATACACGGTTTTAGTGAGAGACTGTAGGTAGATGATGAGGATGGATCCAGCTGGACATAATTTGGTTTATTTTTTGTTTTTGGTCAAATATAATTAGCTCAAAATTTCACGTAATCTCCTACATATGAAACAACAACCAGCTGCCAAATGGACCAATCAAAACCAAATCAAATTGTTAAATGGGTTCTGCTGCCTCAATACCACCAAGCAAAACGAGTGAACCCCATTGAACTTATTCTTCGTTCATTCCCATGTACCACAACATGTCATGCATACACTATTTTTTTTATTTGCAAAAAAATAAAGAAAGGGGTTTTATTTTTATTTTTATTTTGATCACAAGTTCAGAAATATATTATATGGTGTAGACATTTTCAACTAGTACCAACATGAGAGGCTCTGCATTTCATAATTGGTATTGGGAAGCCGTTGCAATATGGTAGTACATCTTTTGAATACCAAAAGTTTGCAATGACACATTCATTTTGTCAAACAAGAGATCCTGATTTCAAATCTCATAAACGGAAAATTTTGAACAGACATCGTTTTCTCGAACATTTTGAAACAACAATCTGAACATATCTTGCCTTGGCTTGCCACATATTAGCACAAACACTGCTAGCTTGAGACATTAACACTTTGCAATTTATTTGGTCCTTTCTCAACTGGACTCATTCTCAATTTCCTTTCTCTGATTTATTTTTTTCTTCCCCTTTTTCTTTTTGGGTGGGGGATGGTGGCATATTACTAATATACGGCAATGCCATGTGCTGATGTGAAAGGCCATACATAACACACGAAGCCGGCAATTGCTCCACCAGGCCCAGTTTCTACATTTCAAATTCCAGTAATCTGATCTGACCCTTTTTCCTTTTCTTTTCAAACAAACTACATGTTTTCCCGTTGACAATTTTATTTTTCTAAATGATGGTACAAGAAAAGATAAACCAAAACGGCTAAAAGGCCCAAAACAAAACAAAGCTCTAGTGCTAGAAGACGGCTGAAACTTGGCAGCTGCTTATGTGACAACGAACTCGACTCGCAGAACCTCTTCTAACGTTGAAAAGAGATATACCATTAGTTAATCCGAACAAACAAAAATTACAAAAGATGCTTGCCAAATACCAATAAGTGCACACTTCTACAAAAATGACAAATTGGATGCTTGGCAATTATTTCTCCCCATGTAGTAAGTTGGACAATGAAATGGACAAGCTGGCCAGTGCAAATGCTTGAGTTTGGAGGAATACGCAAGCTTCTACTGACCCTCCCAAAAACCTTCAGATATTATGTGACGTGAAAGGTTGGGATTCTTAAAACAGTATTTATTCCCCTTTTGTTGTTGCACCAAATCCATGTGCACGCCCACCAAATTCACAATGTGAAACCCTGAACTATATAACCAAAACTCTAGCCCATGAGCAACTCAATTTGCCTAATGAGGCACCATGGGACTGCATAGCCCAAATGGTTTATTTGGACTGGAATTTACGACATGTTAGCCGATTTGAATTAATTTGAATTGTAATGATTTGGTTCAGTTGCGATCTTGAGCTTTTATAAACCGGGTCTAAATTAAGCATTAACGGTCACGTGTATAAAAAAGATTGGGCTTGTGCCTAAATTGCCCAAACCAAACCGTCCAATATTGTCTCAGTTTAGTTCAATTTCTTATGTGATTTTTATTAAAATCGAACCGAATCAAACTGTTCTATTGTAACTGACTATAATTTTGAAGACAATATCAATCCAATCCAAATTGTATCAACCCCAATATAAATCTACATCAAGAACTTTGCACAACATTGCTCATAATTTCTTGGCAACATATAAGATGCTCTTATTAATTACTAAGATATGGAGTTTAAGTGATGCTACAATCAAGGCCGGACAACACACTCAACCAACACCAGCTTAGCTACAATTACAAGAATACAGCACCCAACTAAAACATGCTTAATAATTAATTACAAACCAAGAGAAAATGGGAAACCAGTTGAACTCAACCAGCTACCACCAGCAATGAAGCTGCCAGGTGTGAAAGTCTGAGCCTCGGTGGCACTTGTAATTACCTTAAAGCCCTTCCAGGTCACCCTATTTGAAGTCCCAGCACCAGCCCCAGTGTTAGCATACTCTCCATAGAACAATGTGTCGAGGGCAAATGTGCCACTCCACTCATGCCACCCAGCTGGGTCGATGATATCACTTATGCTAGATTGCATGATCACAGTCCTTGAATATTCCTTCCATGGCCTCCCTAAGAATGTTTTGAAGCTGCCCTTTACAGCTTGCAGGTCAGAAGTGGCTCCAATTCTGGATTTTTGGATCACAATGCCGGTGTTTTGGTTTGGGTCGGTTCGGCCTTGGGCTGTCACCATGTTTTTCTGGCCCGAATTGGGTTTCCTTGCATGGATGTCACAGTTTTGTAGCACCACAGCAGCATTGCCAAAAATGAAATCAACTGTTCCTGCTACTAAGCAGCCTTCGAAAAATTGGCGATTCGAGTGAACGTAGAGTGAGTCTTGGTATGCAAGAATGTCAACGCGGTAGAATGCTGAGAGATCAGACCCGACTCTCAGGGCAACGGCTTGGTGCTTTGACGGACCAGCTGTGTTTTGGAAGGTTATGTCCCGGGCTAGGAATTTTTCCCCAACCGCAGCTGCAAACATAAAGAATTATTCATAAACAAGTCTAATTCAGATATCTGATATGTTATGTTGTCACGCTATTTGATTAACGGTTTCCAAACGAAGGAATGAAACCCATGTGCTCCATTTAATCTGTGAACAGAATCTAGCAACGTGGATGAGTGGCACGCAAAACAAAGAAAATCTGTGGTCTGATTTAATGGCTGACAATTGCTCTGGTACATGGGGACAGCAATCATCAATGACTCAGCTAGAAAACAAGCAAACAGCCAAAACAAATACATGGACCTGGGGCGTGCATGCATGTGTTTTCAAAGGTTCAAACAATCAAAAACAGCTCTCAGCATCCCAAAAATAAGAAAAAGAAAAAGATAATATAGACAAAGGAGAAAAAGCAAGATAATGCAAAATGATACGACTAGTTTCTACAACCACAACACATGTGCCCCATGTGAAAATAAATAAAATTTTCAGCTGGTGTCACATCCAAGTATCTGAAATTTATCCAAATTCGAAAAGGATTGTTTCTTTTAAAAAATATCTCTTTTTTAAGTAGTAAAATTGAAAAGTAGGGTGTCAATAGGGTACAACTCGGTTGATTCAGGTCTTTCACCTGCACTTATATAAGTAGAGATTCGAAATCTCGAGACACTTAATGAATATTTGTGTAAACTCTCCTCCTCAATTGCTTGTATTCAAAAAAGAAATTAAAAGGTAGGGTGAAGGGTCACTTGGGTGACAGATGGTGGCTTGTGCTGATGTCCACACGAAACAGAGACAGCTGAAGTGATCAGTCAAAGATGGCCTAAATTTGAGTGTCGGTGAGTAGCTAACATTAGTTTGAGTTTGAAGCCTTAATTTAGGACTTAAATTCACCATGATTGATGGAAGCAACATTAAAAAAAACAAAGTAGAAGGAAGCATCTGAGAAGGATCCTACTAGGAGGATATGCGAACAAAAAAATGAGACAAAATGTCTTGGGTTAGATTTATTTATTAGAAAGAGACTAAAAGGGCATGAAAAAGTCATATTAAGCACAAAAAGTTGAAAGAGAAAGGGGCCTGGGCCTAGCTGTGAACCACAT